AAAAGTTCCTGTCAGCCTTACCTCCTAAAGATTAGGAGGAAAATCATCCTAAAACTACGTCGTTTCAATAACTTTTTATTGAAAAAGACTAAACTACCCTATTTTTAAAGGATGTACTAAGGTGATATTTGTCCTTTTTCCTCCTAATTTTTGGGAGATAAGGCGGACAAGCACTAATCCCTATATATATATATGCTGTTAGTATTTATCCGCTTTACCTCTCAAAAATTAGAAAGAAAAAAGATAAAAATCACCTTAATGCATACTTTAAAAATATGATAGTTTAATTTTTTTCAATAAAAAGTTATTGATACGACGTAGTTTTAAGATGATTTTCCTCCTAATTTTTAGGAGATAAGACTGACAGACACTTTTTCCTCTATATATATATATACCAAAAAAATATATATATTTTACTTATCTCTAATTTGTAAGTTATTATTATAATACTATCAATTTACTCTAAAAAATTAAATTATATGAATAATGACTCTTTATTTTCAATCATTATCATTTATTATGGTATTATAATTGCAATTGTAATAATGTTTTCTAATTAATTTCTCAATAAATCCTAATTAAACTTTTAACAATTATTTTTTCCCTTTTTATTGTATTCTATTTATTTATAGTCTCTTAATTACTATTAAAATATAAATTTATCCTAAAAAATTTAATTAGAGGAATAATAGCACTTTATTTTCGATGATCATTATTATCATTCATTTTTTCTATTAAAATTTCTTTTAATTCCATTCATTATTAGTTTTAAATTATAGAAATCATGACTTTTCATTTTCAATCATCATTATCATTCACTAAATCTTAATTAAAACTTTTTAATCATTTTATACTTTTTATTTTTTTAATTCTTTATTATATTCTATTTATCTTTAATGTTATTATTAGTATAATAAGTTATTCTAAAAAATAAAGAATTAAAATAAAATTATAAGCATTTCTGAATGCATGAATGCAAATATATATCACCAATATAAAAAATGATTTATTGAAAAATTAATATATATCTCCAATATAAAATATATAATCCATATAAATCTTTATAGATTGAGAGCTCCATAATAAAACTCTTAATATAAAAAAATGGTTTATTTAAGAATTAAGATACAAAATTTGTGTTTTTTAATAAAAAAATTATAAACTTTATTATATATTTTATCTCTACTGTTCTTAACAATAGTAGATATGATAATATCAACCTCTACATTTGAGTTATTAGAAAATTTGATTTGCTCAAATTAATTCATTATGGAAGATTAAAGTATCATGCTTAAGTAGTTTTTGCTTCAATAAATATAAAACAATATCAACCAACTATTTATAATTAATTAATCAAATATTATATTATATTTAATTAAAAAAAATGAAATTTAAATAGATTTCATGCAATAACTTTAATATGATTTATATTTGATCTTCTATATATAACTCTATGTAGAGAACATCACTCTCATTTGCTTAC